TTTAACGTGTTCTAAAATTATCTCAGAAAGCAAAGGGAGAGGCAATAATTTAATCACAGGACAAGGGATAGGAGTCAATCATTCATAAGAATTTTACAATTGAGAATCCACAAAGAATTATTATAGTTGGACTAATAAAAGCGCTTAAGGAAAATTGTTTCATGCTATATCCGCAGATGATGCATTATGCATAGTTTCGTGGTTTTATTACTGTAAGAAAACTATGACAGCATCAATAAGAAAAGAGATGATAGCAGTAGCAAAATAATAATAGCAACAGCTGTTTCTATCCTTGTGAAACAAAGTGGTTCCATAATGATCAGATGGAGTGGCTAAAGCCAGCACCTCTCATTACGTTTTCTAGCAAAACCACTATGTGTTACCCAAGTGAAATAGAGATACCAACTTTTGCTGATTCTGTGTGCCAGCTTCTACACCATATCAGCACTCCTAAACAAAACTCGAAAGCAATGCATTTCATACACGTGCAGTAATCAATCCAAATCCATATCAGCACCTCTCTGAACTCTGTTATTTGTCGAGGTTGCCGAAAAGCTAGGGTATTAGAAGATACGGGAGCTCTGTCACACGGATTCTTTCATTTGTCAACTCCCTTTCTCTCTCACAGACTTGTCAAGGCTGCTAAAAAGCTAGGGTTTTTTTGGGAGAAGGATACAGAAGCTTTTCTGAAAAAAAAAAAAGGGTGTGTTTTCTTCTTCTGTTTTTACCGCTCCATCTAAATCAGAACTATTTTTTTTGTTTTTTTAACAAATGATCTGTTATGACACCTTAGAGAGCATGCATTCTTCTTTCATCTCTTTTTAATTGTGTATTCCACAACACACACATCATCTAACCTTTATGATTTGTGTTTTTAAATAAGCATGAATCAAAAACATAAAAACCTGACATTCTGCTACAGAACATGAAGGGGAAGCTGGTAGATTCATATCAAAATCATTATCGACCCAACATCTCCTCATAAATCAACTCACAGCTTGCAGACATTATGATGCCTTCTTTTAAACCACCCTTCTCTCTTATCTTATAATTTAAGATCATCGTTTATTCAAGATAAAAAAGACGATACGGGTACATATATGCAAGCAATGAGTTGATCTTTGAGGACATTTTTTTCTTTATTTTTTTTTAAACCAGAACAGGTCAAGATTTCGGGTTAGTCAGATCTAGAATTGACCGGTGCTGGCCAGTACGGTTTTATAACAAGGGTTCCAATAATAAAAAAGAGGTTTAAGTGGTTGGTTTGTTCATTTACTCTATAACTTTTTTGGTACTGTGAAGTGCCCTAGCAGGTACCAAGACAACCTCAAATTATTACTTCCCCAGCGTAGGAACAGGAAGACTTGCCTAATCACTTTGACCACTTTATTCAATATCGGAATCGGGAACCAAATACATAATAAATGTAACATACTGCACTCACCAAATTTTTATTACCTCAGAACTTGTTACCAAATCTCAAAATGCATCCCAAAGCAGCTTGATTTTGTTGAGTTTACTATGATATTACCTACCTATATATCACTACTTTGTATTAGTATTCTTGGGGAGAGTTTGAAATTGCGGTCAACCATCCTTTTGAAGAATTTTAATTTTTTTTAGTTTTAAATTATTATTTTGTTTTTTAAAATTTTTTAATGTGTTACATCAAAAATAAATTTTTAAAAATAAAAAGATATTTTAATACTTTTCCTGTAAAACCCCAAATAATATTATTGATATTAATAAAAATCAAGATTATTAAAAATAAGAGAGTGATAAATTAAATTATAAGATTGTTTTTTAAATCATTTTAATGTGTTATATCAAAAATAAATTTTAAAAAATAAAAAATATTGTAATATTTTTCTTGTAAAACCCCATGTAATATTATTGATATTAATAAAAGTTAAAATTATAAAAAATAAGAGAAAGTGATAAATTAAATTATAAAAATAATAATATATTCGAGAATCTAAATTAAAATGTTTTGTTTGAATGTTAAAAAATAATAAATAAATAAACATGAAAATATGAAAAAAAAACTTTTATGAATATAAATTTTATAAAACTGAAAATACTAATAAGTAATTTGATGAAATTTAAAATAATTGGTAAGATTTTATATAAACAGGTACTCTTTTTAAAAAAGGTTGCATGCTCTTGCCTTTTTCCTCTCTCCTAAAACTCTATAAGCAGAACTATTTAGGTGATGATCAAGTGATAAGTACTTAGGATCAACAGGTTTGCTTCCTTTATAGTCTCAGATTTGAGTTCTTGGTTGCTCATATGATAACCACTAAAAACTTACATAGTCGTTAACTTCAGGATCCGTGTGATTAATCATGATACATGCAAGCTAACCCGAATACCTATATTAATCTAACAAAAAAAAAATCTACCAAAAGCAACTCATGTCCAGCTGCCTACTTCTCTTCACTTTCTCCTTCCCAACAAAAACTTAAGCATAGAGAGTGCCCTTAAACATGAGAGAGAGGGGGGAGAGTTAGATCCTAAAAAAAGATTAGACAGCTGTCTAAATGGAAGGAAAAAGGGACCAGAAACAGAGAAAGGAAGAAGGGGGATAACCAACAGGAGAAGAGAAAGAATATTGTCAAACTTTCCCCAAACTTAATTAGTTTCAAAAGTTATGTGCCATGAAACTCCCTTCCTCTTGTTCATGAGACCCCTAAGCTAACTCTAAAGAAAACTGAAACCAGGACAAGAAAACAGAGACGAAACAAGGTCAATTTCCATGACAGTTAACAAAGAAAAATGAATAAAAAAAAAAGAACAAAACATGGCAGAGGGCTGGCCTTAGCTTTGGGGTTGGCCAAAATGCATGTGTGTGTATTTGCTGGGATTTGATGAAAGATTATGTGTTGGAAGTGATGATTAAAATGTGGGTGTTCTGCTGGAATTGATTACGTATATTCTACTGGACTTTTGAGACAGATTATGTGCTAAATTAACTTGAAATCCAACCCGCAATGTATTATAATATTATTAAACGACCAATAGCGGTAACAATCAATTTATGATTACATGAAAGAGTTGCGTTGTAAACTAATGCACTCGGTCCGATAATTACCATAAAACCGAACGCGAAATTTGAAAATATTGTCCATCTATTTTGCTTTCCATGTATTTTGCAGCACCCAGTTGGCTTTATCCCAACTAAGATAGATCCCATCTTCCTTCATCAACGAATACACAGTTCCATGATTGTCATCTCTAGGTACTTCAAACCCATACCACGATGAAAAATATTGTTTCCATTCAGCTGCGCAGTAAAATGTATCCTTTTCCACAACTTTCCATTGGTAGACTTCACCCAAAGGAAGTGAGTGCATACCCAAGTCGATATTATTGGAAGCACAGTAAAATCGCACTGGTTCCGAGTTTGCTGGCAAAGAATTGATGATTTCAATGGTTGGTAGATTTTGTGTGGCCTGATCTTGAATTGATCTTGCACTCAAAACACAAAGTGCAAAATTAAAGAAGAGAAGAAAGTGGATCCATGTGGCCATGCTACTAAGAAATAAAAAAAATTTTGAACTTGTGAAGTATTATTTGTCAAAATACACGCAGTAGATATCTTCTTTAGAGAGATCGTACATATAATATAGAAAAAAGTTCAAGTATAGAAAGTCATTTGAATTCTCGTATTACCATATCCATTCTGAATTTTCATAGTAATTGAATTTTCCACGAATAGTAGTAAATCTAGCTCAATCAATCCTCAAAAAGAATTCGACAATTGGATTTGTAGGATATATTTAAAAGGTATGGGATTCTCATTATATGCACAAGATTTTCTTAAAAGTCATTTCAAGAAGAACGTCCTATAAAATTGACATTCCTTGTATCTATATTAATGTAGGATTAGTATCCTGCATTAATTGGCATTCCTTAAAAGATGTGGGATTAGTATCCTCAAAAGATATGGGATTAGTATCTTTATAAAATTTACATTCCTTAAAAGATACGGGATTAGTATGGGATTAAAGAAATGGGATTAATATGGATTAGTATCCCATACCTTAAAAGATATGGGATTGGTATCCTCTCATAACTCCTTCCATATGATGATCAATTTCTTTAAATGTAACCTTTCTAAGAAATTGGATGGCTAACGTAAAATTTAATCGATTTTTTCTTAATTACATGCTAATTCAAGATTCTTATTTCAAGAGGAATTAAGTTCAAGTGTACTTAAACTCAAAGATATATTTGAGTTTTGCTTGTACGATGAAACTAAAAAAAAT